TGACTAAGTGTATTCAGTCAACAAACAGACTGACAAACTTCCTAACCCTGCAGGGCTTGAATACTGTCAAACAGATCTGAGGGTGCTGTAATTTAACAAGGAAACGTTTAATTTCCTCAGGTAATTAAGCTTCCAAGAAGCATATCAATCTGACTGTGTATTTATATCAATCAAATGAAATCTTTGACTATTCAGCCATCCCTAATTCCAATGATGTTTACTTCTGGCAGTGTGTGTCTTTTCACCCTGAAACATTTTCTCCATATAGTGTCTCACATTGATGTCATTTCTCCATTTGGCTGGCAAAATGCTACATTCAGGAAAATTAAATAATCTGAGTCTATTGCTGATCAGCTGTAATGCCTCAGGCTATGAGCAGATGTCACTCTGATGTCTGAAGGTAGTGCCTCAAGTCTGTCTAATTAAATTACTATTTGTCTGCTTCATTGTCTTGGAAGAAAAGAGAATATTTTACTAGCTATTCTGGAGCTAAAAAATTGTTCTTGATATGGACCCTAATTCAAAGTGTTGAAACTACATATGTATATTTAAGGTTTTTTTTTTTTTTTAAAAAAAAGATTTCATTGATTACATAAATTGTCCCAGTCTATCAATATCTTTGGATAACTTCTTATCCCTTAGTTTTGAATTCCAAAGCAAGATAGCCTTGATAAATGCTTCTTTCAATGGGATATTGATTAATCGCTATTGTCCAGTTTACTGTGCTCTGATTGAGAATGTGGAGTGACACTGTCTGTCAAAACTGACCAAGACATAGAGAATTAGACTTTTGGTCTACCAGAATCTCCTCCTCCCTGAGGGAAATGCATTCTAAAATGGAAATGTTCAAAGACATTGTCATGTTAGTCTGATTTAGCTTAAATATATATAAGATAATCCTATAGTAGCTGTAAGACTTAGAAAAAAGAGATTTCTAATGTAAGCTTGTGTGTTGACACCCTACTCACACCACCCCATTGATATATATGCTTGCCTGCCAACCTCTAAAATGACAAGACAAGACAACAGCAATTTGGATTTAACTGTTGGGCAACTTTATTGATTGTTAGCTATTTAACTTTTAACTAAACTAAACTAACTTAGGTGTCAGTTAAACTTGGTGTGGCAAAGCCGAGGTAGCATCTTATACAGCCTTCCCCTCGGCTTTTCAGGGCGTAACACCTGGATTCCCTGGTAACGTAAACCTGGGTAACATCTAAGGAAAACATCCAGAGAAGTCTCTCTCAAATTATTGAGACCAGACTCTCCCCGTTCTTGGGCTATTCAATATCACCTCACCTGGGGTAAAAATAAAGTTTAAAGGGGTACAAATAAAGTTTAATAATAATAATAATAATAATAATAATAATTTTTAAAGTTAATCTTTAGGTGAGTGTTTGTGTAATGGCCCACATGCTTCAAGGGGTGTCTTAGGTGTACACCAACCTTTGTAATTCAAATCTATTTATGGAAAGCCTATTTATACAACAACCATCCCAACTAGCCCCTAATAACAGTATAAGGTAGGTGAAAAGCCCTCCTAGAACATAGGAGGGAAAAATTCCTACCCAGTCCCAATGGACAACCAATAATTATGCTATCAATGGGCGGGAGTGGTGGGTGACGCTCTGAAGCAAAATGAGGGAATAGGGCTGGCCTACAGTAAGGCCAGCCCTGTCCCCTTTTCCAGATGGTTCCAAAGGAATCATCCATTCTCTTATCTGTGGGAGGAGGGAAATTGCACCCCCTCCCACACACTGTGCCGGGGTGGGAATGCCCCCTGTCTATAGGGGCTTCAGCCCATGCATCTGATGAAGAGTGCTGCGTGAAAGGTTACACTGGAATATGTAGTGTTCTCAGTAAGTTGCAAATATATGAGCAGATTTACTTATATCTAGAAAATAAGCTTTCCATGCTTAGGAATTGACCATACATCTTCTATTGGTAAGCATTTTGTGCCTTCCTGCGCTCATGCAATAGAGTTAGTAGTTCCTCCCTTTGTCTAACCCATACATGAACACAAACAAAGATGTGACTACAATATAGGACCTAGATTTCAAAAACAAAACAAAACAAAACAAAAACTACCCTGACATAGTGGCTTCAACCATGTGAATAACATATAGAAGGACCCTGGCCCAGCAGCATTTACGTAGATATTAAAAACTATTGGTTGGAAAAATCCATGGAAAAACAGTGACATTTCACAAAACACTAATAGGGCTATCTTCATTAATAAAACAGTTGAATTCTACACCAATGAGGAGAATAAGTCTAAGAAAGCAGTCCTAAATTTTCTAATGTGGAAATAATTCTACTGAAATAAAGTAAATTTAGATTAATTGAATGTTTATTATCGATCATCATAAGAAAGATAGTTTGATTGATTCTCAGTTGGAACACTATGTAAAGTCAGACCATTGCAATGGCTCAATAGTAACATCAAATATATGTATAAACAGTATAAAATGATGCATCTAGGAATTTGTATCCAAATATTTCAGTTACTGCACTTAAGCCATCAATATGAAATTTTAGCCATGCATTAAACATGATTAATGATGCCTTCGCTTGTCATTAAAATATTAGAAAATATTTTAATGAGATAAAAATAATTGATGTCTTACTATTTTATATTAATATTAATTCACAGTGTAGTATTATTACTGAGTGATATATTGTCTATGCTACAAAATAATTTAAAATATAAAGTATTATGGAAAGGTATTTTTCATGTTCTTTGGAATGTCAACCTATTTTATGTAGGTTTGGATAACTCAATATACAACTATATCAACAATCGTGTTCTATACATCCCACAAACATGCTACTATCTTAAACATGAATGAAGATGATGTACAACGATGAGCACATTAAGATGTTATCAAATATTTAAAATTGCAGCCACCTTTAAGTTTACTAAGGCAGAATGCAAGTCTTAATGCAATGATACTTTGATATGAGACAGATATATTTGCTGCAGTTAGAGTTTTAATGCTTTCCCCTGAAATTAGTTGGGAATGAAATAAGAAATAAAGTTCAATGATAGAAATTAAGTTCAGCTATGTAAATTAGACTTCTATCCATCCCATTATAAAATTGACAGAAGAAAGGAGGGAAAGTTGATATTTCCTGCCCTTTCCAAGCACTACACTAAAATGTATATATGTATAATTACAAGAAAATGCATGTAGGATACAAAAAGAATATCCCAATCTAGGGGTATAACCATCAAGGTCATCATGTTCCCCAAATGTTTGTTTTCCTGGGAAAAAATGACCACAAAATTACTCAACCTCCAGCAATCAATCATAGCTATTTCCTGACTTTCTGGCTAATTTAGATTCAGAGAGTCCTCTTCTTTTCATTTTTTAATTGTCCTATTAGTCATTTATCTGATTCCATTTTTTCCAAATCAAGGTTCTCAAAGGGAAATGTATGATTCCCAAACAGCTAGAAGTTGCTCATCACTGCCTTAATTCTTATGCTCTCAGTGATATTTGAGATATTTTTTAAAAGTTCATGACCATACCCCATATTTTTTAAAAAGAAATGCAATTTAAAGTTTAGTATATTAATAAATAAAACTAATAATAAAACTATTTGTATTCTGCCACCCTCTCCCCAAAGGGACTCAGTGTGGCTCACAAAGAGCACTCAGTAGTGCAACAATATATAAATACAGCAAAATAAAAAAATATATAAATCAATAAAACAATATAAATGTACCCAACAATTTTACTTAAAACAAAATATAAAACCCCTATTAATATAAAAGGTGCAAGGAAAGGCTGTGAATATAGCAGCTGTATACAATATCAGCCCCATAAAGTGCTGCAGTGAAGCAAGTCACTATGTCCTTGAATTTAGTTAGTGACTAAGGCACTAATCACTAATCATGGTCGAAGGCTTGTTTAAAAAGCCATGTTTTGAGGTATCTGGAAAACTGGAAAGTGGAGACTAACCTAATCTCTTTGGGGGGGGGGCATTCCAAAGCCACCACTGAGAAGGCCCTTTCTCTCATCCCCACCAACCACGCTTGAGACACAGATAGGATTGAGAGGAGGGCCTCCCTGGCAGATCTTACGGCCTGTGCCAGTTGATAGAAAAAGATGCAGTCCCGAAGATAGTTTGGACCTAAACCATATAGGGCTTTGTAGGTAATAACCTGCACTTTGAATTGGATCCAGAAACTCAGCAGCAGTCAGTGGAACTGTTTTAGTAGGGTGGTGGTATGCTCCTTATAACCAGCCTCAGTTAGTAATCCGGCTGATGACCTTTGCACTAACTGCATTTTCTAAGCCATCTTCAAAGGCAGCCCCACATAGAGTGCATTGCAGTAGCTCACTGTAGAAGTAACTAAGAAGTGGGCCGCCACAGTCAAGTCAGGCTTCTCGGGGTACGGTCACAGCTGGCACACACATTTTAACTGTGCAAAGGCCCTTTCAGCCACCACCGACACCTAGAATCAAATCATAGAATCAAAGAGTTGGAAGAGACCTCATGGGCCATCCAGTCCAACCCCCTGCCAAGAAGAAGGAATATTGCATTCAAATCACCCCTGACAGATGGCCATCCAGCCTCTGTTTAAAAGCTTCCAAAGAAGGAGCCTCCACCACCCTCCGGGGCAGAGAGTTCCACTGCTGAATGGCTCTCACAGTCAGAAAGTTCTTCCTCATCTTCAAGCATCAGCACTGAGTCCAGGAGGACCCCCAGACTGCGGACCTGTGTCCTCAGGGGCATTTAACCTGGACGTGGAGTATTTGTATAAGCAACTTTATGGATGCAACTCTTCAAATTAAGAAGTGGGAAATGTGTTGAGCAAAGTCTAGAATGGGTTTTCTTGAAGCATTATCTTTTATCCTGGAATCACTTTTATGTCAAGATAATCTCCATTTGCAACATTAATTTAACCAGGATTGTTGGCAACCAGTAGTCCATCTATGATTAAATAACCCCATTTAATTCAACAAAAGATGGAAAACAGCTACTTGAATTACCTGTGCACATAATCATGGTAATGCTGGGATCCACCAAACGATGAGTTTCCCTTATGACTATACGATTAAAACAAAAGTGACTTGGCATAAAACAAATGCAAAAATGCCTCCTTAGTGCTAGACACTGCCAGCTTAATCCAATCACTGTTTCACAGTAGGTGGTAGGCATGGTGGTCATAAAATAAGTGCAAGGAAACTCAGCTAACATGCCATGCTGGTTCAATATGAGAAATCCAGTGATTTACATAGAAAGCATATACAGATGCAAAAAATAAAATAAAATAAGATGAACTGCTTAGAATTTTGTTTCCAGGACATGCCAACAACAGCTTTATAAAGTGGTGGTCATATATGAACTGAAACAAATCCTCAGACAACTCTTCTTCCTCTGGCAAGTTTTTAATAACTTTCGCCATCTAAATAGATGGTCCAGAGGAAATGGCTGTCAGTGAGCATGCAGTCAAGCCACACTTAGAAGGTTAATAATCACCTTGGATCTACTGCACCGCTCCTTCAAAAAAGAATAGAAAGGCAGTTTTTGGTAGCATCCCACACATTTCACAGCTAGTAATATCGAAATCAGATGGGAAACACCACACACTTACAAAAAGGACATGTTGTTGTTTTACACATACATATACATACATACACCACAAACTGAAAATAAACTTTGCAGAAGACATCTTCATATTTTACTAGACCAGCATACATTCAACTTTAATAACATTCTTTGTGTTCATACATTTATGTACTGCTGATCATTTGAGGGAGTGGGAGTATTTCACAATTGGACTCCTCAACACTTAATGAGGCAGGGATTTCCAATTTACATGTAAGAGAAATTACTTGAACAGGTATACAAAATCACCTTATCTACAATACAGAATTCTATTGATTTATGACTTTTAGCAGTCATGACTGCCATCAATGAAACTTGCAAAATGTAATTTGGTGAAATATTGAAAATTTTGACAGAGATTCCTGTCAGCCCAGCAAAATGTTAAAGAGCTAGAATTCCCAACATTTTCTTAGACGAGAAAAGAACTATGTAAACACAGTAAAAACTTGCTATATAGATATGGCCTGTGACAGAACTGGGCCGAGAACTCAGAAATTTCCTTTGTTCTGTGATAAGCTTACATTTTCTATTACAATGGTAATTGAAAATCCAAAGTGTTCTATACCCTTTGCATGCTCAACAAGTCAGATGTAAAGTTGCCAATGCCTGCAATATTTACGCATACAATAGCAAGCCACATGGAATCTAACTTTTGAGAAGTGGTTCTTTGTGAGTTTATGAAGACTTAGATTCTATACATTAATTTTAAACTCCATTTTAAAAACCCCAGTAAATATCCCAAACCAACTCAGTCTCCACTCCCCCAAATGAGCAGAAATGTTTAAGTACTAAATTTTAAACGAAGGATTGATTTGTAAAAACAAAAGACAAATGTAACAAGCATTCCTAAATCAAAGCAAAACAGCGATCTTAAAGACTTACCTCCTCTTGATGGTAAGCATTGCGCCCAAAAGGATAATAACAAACATCAGAAGACCAGCTATAACTCCTGCCATTTTCACTGTATTGTCAACTTGCTTTTCTGGTTCTACTGCATTGGAGTTCTGTGTAGAAGCTCCTTAAGTTACAGGGGAAAAAGGAAATAATAAAAAATGTATTGTTGAAATATCCTAGTAAAATCACATGTTCTGACCTCCACATTTTGACAAAAGACTAACAGTAACATTTCAAAGGAATGATTTGCATTTGACCATGACAGAAAGAACAGTACAAACCAATCCCCAAATATGATATGACACAAAAGGTTTTTTTTCCTTATGATGCATTCAACTACAAACTAACAGTAAATATGTTGAGCCTTAGTGATTTGTTCCTACCATGCCAGAGGAATAGTGAATGTAGTCAGGTTTTTTAAAAGTCTATGAATAGGTTCAGCACATTTAAGGTTTCTACTAAAATCCAGAACAAATTCACCAACAACCACTACAGTGTGGCGAATTCTACAATACTGTCCAAATGATTGATTGAATACAGCGAGTTGAAAAGCCTGGAAAGTAAAACTAAGAGCCATCAAATCATCAGAATCCAAATAATATTAAATGTTTTGATTTTGTTTAGTTTGATTGTTTTAGGCCAAAAACCTTCAACTTTCTGGGCTCTCAAACCCACTGGTTGTAGTTAATCATTACACTAGATAAAACATTGGAATGGCAGAATCTTTCTGATAATTAGTAATGTGGATACTGGTGGAATCTAACACTTGACATTAAATGGGTAGACATTTCCTTAGTCTCATATGTGTCATTAATACTGTGTTGTGAGATTGTCTTAGCAAGTTTTATACAAGCATTGATTAACAAAAATATACCTCCAGATCATAACTCAAAGGCTTCACAAACTATCCTGTTTCTCTATCAGTACCCTCACCATAGCAGATTACCAATTTAACTGACAAGCCATGATAGACAGTAAGTGGAAATCTTAACCTAGAGTTGTGGAACTACAGAAACATCAGTAATAATTTTCTGTATCTTTCACACCTGTATTTCCAACCAGCATATCTTTCAACTTATCTGCTAGATCTCAGTGATAAAAGCAAGGGAGGGGAAAATCAGGCCTGCTCTGCCTTCCTAATGGAAATTTAAACAACTATTGTTATTCTTCTCAACTTTCCAAATGCCCAGCTGCACTCCAATATGATTGCTACCTCCAAGCTGTCACTGGGGAGCAGTTGAGTGAGATGCATCTCATTATCTGCTGCCACTGTCCAGGAGTATTTGGCAACAGCAGTGAAGTTTCTTGTGATTTGGTATAATTTACAAAAAGCCATGCAATACTAAGATGAAATTGACAAATTTTGTAGGAATTTGAAAAAAAATCAAGTGAATCTGACAGCAAGATAACAGAGGGACGAGAGAAGATAGAAAGGGCAATAGTGCAAGTATATGAAGACTTTTCAGCTGTCAGTCTATCACAACTGAGTCTTATTTGAATTAGGCTACATCCTTTATTGTAAATTACTTTGATTCTTTGTGTAAAGAAATTGCATAAGTAAATAACTCGGGAGTGTAATAGTGCTAGTACAAAAGACTTTAAAAAGATGAACTGTGCCTGAAGTTTCAAAACTAGGGGTAAAAAAAAAACTTTTAAGTCTGATGACTTTTCACTGTTCATGTTTTTCTGTAAGTTGCTTCTTCAAAATAAAAACCGAAATATATGACTATTAGTAAGAGGGCAGAACGAACAAACCTATAGTCAATAGAATGGCTTGTTTAATTAATGTTGGAAACAATCAGGAACACTGTAAATGTTATGTAGCATTTTCTTCAATAAAATGTTGAGGAATTATCTGATGGGAAATGTCCAATTCCTCTTCTTTTTAGCTTGTTCTCCTCAAGTACTTCTATGTTAATTGTTGTAGTTCAGCGTGATGGTAATGTTACTACTACTGGTAGAAGGGAGAAGAGGTCTGTGCAGGAGTTAGAGGAGGAACAACAGCACAAGCGCATTAGGGAAATAATCATGGCCCCAAGTGATTCTGAGATGTTTGAGGGCTTCTCTGATTGTGCAATGGGGGATGGGGAGGACAACAGGGGAGTAAAGAGGGCTACTCGCGATCCGGAGTCTGATGAGGAGCTTCAGAGGAAGCGCATCCGGGAAATACTTAGTGCTCCTACGGAGGACGAGGATTTCATGGGGTTTGAAAGGAGTGATGGGCCTGGGAGTGATATGGGAGAGGAGGAGGAGCTGAATTGGACCCGTGTTCAACAGATTAGGGACATTTGTAACCAACTCACCTCCAGTGATGAATTTGAGGGGTTCACAGGGGATTGGCAAGATCTAAGTCTTGGCAGACGCTGGCAGAGGTGGAGGGATGCGCGCTTGGGTTCAGCTGCGGGGATGGATGCAACTGAGAGCAATGAGGAAAGGGTGGGGAGCTCATCATCCTCTAATGAGGAATTGTAGGATAAAAGTGGGTTCAAACTGTATGGCTCTTTGCAGAAAGCAAAGTGTCTTTATGGGACATAAATCTTTGTTACTGTCAACTCTCGAGCTTGGGTCCTTGGACTACAGATTCCTGTGTTCCTGTGATTCCTGCGTTCCAGTGTTTACATTACTCAACGGCTTGACCACGGACCGGTTTGACCAACGCTTTTGGTTTTTTGGACTTTAAACGTTGCTAACTTCGTGTTTGATCATCACATCGTTTTGGGACTCCGTTTTCCATCTTCTATGACTGTGTTTTTGTACTGTGTTAATTTTTTAGCAGATTGCTGAACTTTGAGTTTAACCCGGATTAAACAGCGTTATAATCCGGGTTATATTTTTGTTGTTGGTATCGCTTTGTTTTTGATGCCAAATTGCTGCTCTGACTCTTTGCACTGAAGTTAAGTGCTTTGAAAGACTATTTTTGCATAATATTAGCGAATTTTTTTTTTAATTTAATTAATTTTTTTTATTTTTATTTTTATTTTTTTATTATTATTAATATTATTTATTTTATTATGTTTATTTTCTCTTTATTCTTATTTTTGTTGAATTTTTTTTATTTAAATTTCCCTTAACCCTTTCTGATTCTTTTCATAAAATCATAGAATCAAAGAGTTGGAAGAGACCTCATGGGCCATCCAGTCCAACCCCCTGCCAAGAAGCAGGAATATTGCATTCAAATCACCCCTGACAGATGGCCATCCAGCCTCTGTTTAAAAGCTTCCAAAGAAGGAGCATCCACCACACTCCAGGGCAGAGAGTTCCACTGCTGAACGCTCTCACAGTCAGGAAGTTCTTCCTCATGTTCAGATGGAATCTCCTCTCTTGTAGTTTGAAGCCATTGTTCCGCGTCCTAGTCTCCAAGGAAGCAGAAAACAAGCTTGCTCCCTTCTCCCTGTGGCTTCCTCTCACATATTTATACATGGCTATCATATCTACTCTCAGCCTTCTCTTCTTCAGGCTAAACATGCCCAGCTCCTTAAGCCGCTCCTCATAGGGCTTGTTCTCCAGACCCTTGATCATTTTAGTCGCCCTCCTCTGGACACATTCCAGCTTGTCAATATCTCTCTTGAATTGTGGTGCCCAGAATTGGACACAATATTCCAGGTGTGGTCTAACCAAAGCGGAATAGAGGGGTAGCATTACTTCCCTAGATCTAGACACTATGCTCCTATTGATGCAGGCCAAAATCCCATTGGCTTTTTTTGCCGCTACATCACATTGTTGGCTCATGTTTAACTTGTTGTCCACGAGGACTCCAAGAACTCTTTATCTTGTGTTTGGCTCTACTTTAGGCTTCTGGGTCTTGACATTAATATATTCCACTTCTTGTTTAACAATTTTTACATTGCCCTGATCATACTTCCCACATCCCACGTTCATATTACATGCATTGTTCAGCTTCAGACTTTCCTTTCAAATGCGAATATATCAGCAGCTGAACATCCTTTCAACATGAATCCAGTTGCATCATAAGACACAGTGATATTTGTACCTTTCTTATGGCCTTCCCCAGGGGATGGTTGCGTGCCTTCTTACAGTACTTGTTTCATTTTGCATCCTCTCATCACAGAGTTATTGTAATAATGGCATTTAGAAGTGATTTTTCATGCCTCGTTCTGTACAGTACTAAATAAGTTCGGTACAGTGTCCTTGCTTTTGAGTTAGACTAAATGTGCCAAAGAGCTCCTGATACATAGCAGTAGTACTAGTGGTTGGTGGTGCAACTATGACTGGAATGCTGTCCACAGTTCCGACCACCGTGTCACATAAAGAATATTGCAGAGATGGAAAATGTGCAGAAAGCAGTAAGCACTGGTGCAACTTCCTTGGAACTAGTGGCTACAAGGCTTACTCATTGTGTAAGTAAAGGGGATGTATGATAGAAGTTCATACCTTATGCATTGTGTGAAGTCAGTATAGAGAAGTTTCTCTCCCTCTTGCATAGCATGGTGGAAGATTCAGAACGACTTTTTTCAAACAGTGAACTGCAAATTGCTATGACAAGATACAGTGATGCACCAGCATGGATGGACGTCAATAGCCTTATGTTAGTTATAGTTAACGATAGCTAAAGTACTTCTAAAATTAGAGGCAGCATGCCTCTCAATTCAAATTGTTGGAGAATACAATATAGTGCTCTGCTACATTTATGTTTTGTTATGTCTATTGAAAGGTATCACCTTGAGATGCTTTTCAATAGGCATCTCAAGGTGAAGCAATCCTGAACTAAACATGGTTTCCCACATCTTGCTTTATTCTATTCATATACTTCTTCCCATAAAAGAACAGCCAGATTTTTTAATAGATTATTGAGCTTTTAATCATGGAGTGTTTGAGCAACTTTTGTATTTTATGTAACTTTTCATATTTGCTTCACTTCAAATTCTAGCATCACATAATATTTTGATACATCTTCGTTAGTTAACTAATTTGTTTTTAATAATACTTCATGCTTTTTATATACCAGCATTTGAGCCATGGAAGTCAGTTGTATTTGAATATAGTTCATTTGGTACTAAATTATGAAAGCTGTTTGATACAGTTATAAGATACTCTTAAGAATCTTATCTCAAGATATGTTCAAATAACATGTAGCATTATTATTTTAATAAAAATATATTCTGT